GGACCCAAGAACGGGACATTCTTATCCAATGGTCACTATGCTTCTGCCCTGTAATGCTTGAGGAATTTACAAGTGACTGTTTGTAGGAAAGTTTTAACATTTCATAAGCCTGTTAGAAATCTACCTTCAATAATAGCTGCTCAACCTCTATAAAATGCCAAATATGTTTGCTTTCACCAGAATCTTATCAACTCAATGTGGTAACTGTGGTTTATTAAAAGTTTGGATCTTCTAATGTCAAGATCAGAAATTCTAGACCTTTTCTGGTAGACTAGATTCTCTTACTAGTGAGGAATGCAATGTAGTGCCAGGGTAGAAAAATATTGACTTTTGGGGCCAGCAGGTGGTGTGGTGGTTAGGATGCTGGACTTCCACATGGCCGGCTGCAGTTCAAGTTCTGGACTTAGTGGCCTGCTTTCTCATTTTCCCTCTCTCTTTCTCTGTGTCTCTCTGGTGAGTACACATGCCCTACAGCAAATTAAAAATAATAATCATCAAATAAATACATAATTTTTTAAAAGAAAAAATGTTGAGTTTCTAATTGAACTTGGATATAAGCAACAAGTGACAATGGGTATCAATGAAAAGCTCTTTAAAAGACTGCAAGTTTCTCTTATTATCTACTAAAACTTCAGTTATGACAGTAATATTATAACGTTACCATAGAATATTTTCTAAAACATGCTCTTCGAAACATGACTATGAGATTTTTCATAAATGTTATGCAAAAACAGAATTCTGTGATCAGATGAATGTAGGTAAGACTGGTTTGAACAAAGTACAAGTACATCCTAAAGGTCAGGACAAAACTCTTTAATATGCTAATGTGAAGTGTAAATTACCAAAGTTTTCAAAATGTATGTGGTCCAAGGTTTTCTCTTTTGTAGACTATGTGAGGGTATATCCTGGGGTTCCTCAAACATACTTTGGGAGCATTCCAATAGATAATTGATAACTACAGATCACTGACAAAGTCTAGATAAGCAATAGAACATTAGTGGACACAGGTGGAATAATCTGGTGTCTTACCATTTCATTAGTTTTATTTTAACCAAATTTCCATTTATATGTGCATGCATGCACGTGCACACGTATGCACACACACACTCCTATATTTCATAGTCTTTTCTATCAAGAGTAGCAAAAGCAGTTCTCAATATAACCTCTCTTTTGCTGAATCTCAAGCCCACCAGCTACTACAAAGTCCACAGTTTCTTAGAGGGCTGCTGCCAGTTATTTCTAGGAGCTTTTAACAAGTATCTACAGAGGCTCTTGAATAGTGCCTGTTTGCTCAAATGCTTGCATATCTGTGTGGAGGTCCCTCCTCAGTGCATCCAGTGGCTAGGAAGGAGTTGCATCCACTGGGTTCTACTGACACACCACCAGGCACCCCTGATGCCATCACAAGGTACCACAACCTCTGGAATCACTACCAGACTCGCCCTATCAGATACTTGTATACACTGTCCTTGAAATTACGGAGCTAGACTAGAAAAAAATTAAACTGCAAGTGATAGTGACCTCTTCCTTTTTAAACACCCCTCCTAAGGATGACTGCAGTTTTGACATTGAGCCAAGTGTATCTTTAGGATAAGTCCCCACACACCTGGGAGTCCTAAGCTTCCTATGATGAAAAACAAAACAAAACAAAACAAAACAAAACATACCACCACAGCAGTAATCAATGGCTAAGTTTTTATACCAGGCGATACATTTTTCATTTAAAATTCATAACAGTCCTGGAAAGTATTAACTATCAATGCGACCCAGGCAGGCTGATGCCATAAACAATGCAATGGACCTACCACCATGTGGTCTGAATGCCAGCAGTGCAGCTACTTGGGCTCAAGCATGTTTCATTCTTCATTTGTTATTTCTCTCACTTACTTATTTAGACGATCCCTCAATATTACCATCTGTAAAAGGGAATGTGTTTGTGAAGTGCTATGAAGTGCTAGAAAACTCATTGCAAGGGAGAATGAGATTCTTCCTAAGCCAAATGCCTTCAGATCACACTATGTAAGAAAATTCTACCCAACACAATGTTGCCAGCTCTGTAAAAAGAAGTAGAATTATAGCCACAAAATTCAAACTCTGAATAGTTCCATCTGATGCTTTTTTTTTTTTTCTTTGGTAGTTGTTGTTGTTCAATTTTCAGTTAAGCCAGAGAAATCAAAGAGGAGGAGGGCAGGAAACATATTCCATTTATGCCTGAGTTACATTAAGTTCTTAGAGCACTCAGCACCTTTACAGAAAGTTGCTATGGATTAAGTATTTGCTTGACTCCATTACAGAAAGAACCATCAGATTGGGATAGCCATCTATTTTTCTTCAGTTTTGGTTAAACAACTTTGGACCAATTTTTGATGAATGGTGAAACTGTTCTGCCCTCATCTTATTTGCTATAATCTCTCCTATTTCCCCTTCCCTTGGGTACATTAGCGTTCACTTATAACACACAACCTCATGGCTAATAAGAGAGATTTATGTGCAAGTAAGATTCTATTCCTTCCATCAAATGTTTACTTAAGGAGGCTTTATTGCATAAAGTACCATCCTTACTTGGTGCACAAGTATATTTATCTTTTTAAATTAATTTCCTATCATTCTAGACTTCAAATCTTAGTCTGTTGTGGGGATTATATTTCGCGGAGGAATTTTGTCTTAGCATATTGTTTGTTTTATATACAGGATCTTTAATAAAAGTGAAATATTGGACTATTACTGTTAGAGGCTTAGGAACTGGTGCTTCTCAAGATGTAGAAGGAAGAAACAGTTTATTCAAAGACGATTTTTGGTACAACGGAGCCTATACAAATCGAAATGGATGTTTTCTAACTGGTACAAAACTTGGAAAACAAAGAGGTGATACATATAAAAAAAAAAAGTCCATAAAAAAGTGAATCCTTTTTCCTAGTAATATTATTCAGAGATATTCATTATAGGAAAATAATTCAAAGTACAAAAAATAAGAACTACATGAACAGAAGAGCACACTGAAAGATTGGACTTAAGAGCACAAAATCAGAGCCAAGCGAAATGTCTCACAAAAGGCATGTTCGGTCCTTCTGCTTACCAAGACAGACGTGTGGATGAAGACCAGAAGAAAATACAAGAAAGGAAAACAGGGCTGGTGGAATGGTAGGAGAACAGAAGAGAATTCTTATCTCAAATCTCTATTACAAACTTATTTCAGCAGCAACACTTATTATAAAAAAGAAAATGTTTTTCCTGAAATCCCCCCTTCTTTCTAATTCTACTCATCTGAAATACCCATATTAAATTCCGCTTTTACTATTGTACATACCTTTGATTTTTAGCTTCTACTAAATCCATATCAATTTGTTAAACCAGTGGCTCTCAACTAAGGGCAATTTTGTTCCCAGGCAATATTGGGCGGTATCTGGGGGTGTTCTGGGTTGTCATGACAGGGGTTGTGATACTGGTATCTATCAGATAAAGGCCTGGCATGATGTATATCTCTACAACAGAATAGTCCTAAGCAACAAACTACTGACAGAAGAAACAATATATCTGAACATTAAGAACAATATACTAAGTAAAAGAAGTCAAACACAAAAGACCACATATTTTCTCATTCCATTTATAAGAAATTTTTGGACAAAAAGAAAATTATAGAGACAGAAGATCTGTGGTTGGTTGGATCTGGGTATGAAAGTGGATATAAACACATAAGAACTTCTTGACATGACACAAGTTATTCTAAAATTGGGTGCCGGTAATAGTTGTGCAGCCATTTAAATTTACTAAAATTCATCAAACCATTAAACTGCACACTTAAACTGGTGAATTTTATGGCACATAAAAACAAACCATAATAAAACTTTTACTTTGAAGTATTAGGGCCAGCAGGTAGCATGGTGGTTAAGATGTTGGATCCCTTAAAATCAACTCTGGGGTTCAAGTCCCAGATCTGGCAGCACGAAAAAGAGTCCAAGTGCATGTGTGTGCATGCCCAAAATTCCAAAAGGAGAATATATAAGAGGGTGTTGCAGCATGGTCATGCCCCCTGGGAGATGATTCTTATTTTCTCTCTCTTTCTGTTTGTCTCTCTGTCCACCAAGTAGGTATGCCCTATGGCAAAAAACAAACAAACAAACAAACAAAAAACACTTTGAATTATTACTATTCAATTACTATATTTTTATTTAATTTTTCATTAGGTACCTGGTTTTCTTCTCCATTAGCATATAAATAATGTGAATTGTATTTGTTTTTCAGTATATGCAGTTATTTATACACAAGAAACAAAACCTTTATTAATTTTTAATGTAAAATAAAATATACGCTCATCAGAGAGGACTTGAAAAGTAAAATAGAAAACAGTCACCTAGAATTTCTGCTCCTAAAGAGTATTACTCTAAATATTTTATTATACTGATTTTCATTTCATACTGTTGTGGCTACGCTATGTAATTAAATATACTTCTTTATTTTCACTCATTAAGCTTTACAGACAATAAACTACTTAAAAACATAATCTTAAATGACATTCTACTTTCCATCCTGTGGATGTGCCACAATTCACTTAGCTATTTCTTGCTATGTCTATCAGTGGGTTGTCAGAAAAGTCATAATGTATTTTTTTCCATGCTAAAATGTGTCATGACTTTTCCAACAATCCAATAGATTATTTCTAAAGTCTTACAGCATTGAATGCAGGCACCTCCACCCACCATCCAGGATTCACAAAATTCAGGCCACATCTATTAATCCAGTATGCTCAAAGTTCACGTCTCTTCTTTATAGAGGCTGGTTCCTCCACTTCTCCCCAAATTAGGGATGCTCTTTCCTAAGATAAAACTTTGTATGTGTTTCTTCCTGTGCCTGAAATGTCCTTATTTGCTGGCTCTAATCTGACAGAGTCAGAATCCCACAAGATGCCACCAAGTCCTACTTCTCCATCCATTGTTATGCTGTTGTAGCTCACATTAATAACCTCTTCTTCTGAATTCTTTTTTTTTTCTTTTTTTTTTCCCCAGGGGAAAGCATGAACACAGTCCCTTACTACCACAACTTATGCCATCGAGTTTCTCACATTTGGGGAAATCACAGGGGTCAGCACATCCGGAGTGAAATGGATATGCCTCACCCTGGGAAAACCACCTTCGTGATCATGGTATCTCCCCTGCCAGGTAAGTATACCTTCTGAATTCCTTGAACACTTTATTCAGACAGACATCTGGTTTCATCTGACTGAGTTTCATACATTGCCTGTTCCTTTGTTTGTCTTGAGAACAACTAGATTATGAGTCCGTGGTGGATAGGGACCATATATTTCAATTCTTATACAGTTCTGCATTTCCTTCTGCTTTAGATAAGTGGTACTATATTTGCTAATATCAGGTAACTAAGGCTGCTGTTGCTATTATTTAATCACTAAGTTGAGTACAGATGATAATGAAAGAGAAAAAAATTCAACAGAGATCTACAGACCCTGATCATGGGTGGTATAAACTACCATAATTATTCTTAGGGAATTTTTTATTCTTTGGCTATACAAATCTACCCTTCTCTGAGTACAGTTCAACCATATTTTAAATGGAAGTTCATAAGTGATGGTCACCCATTTCCACCAACCCCGGATCCTGCAGAGACTCCTCTCATCACAGCTTGCAGACCTCTACAGGGCCTACTGTTCTGTTATGATAGCCAAGGAATTTCACTACTGCAACCATTTGTGATATTCACTGGAAATATTTCACAAATTTCTTTTAAACCAAATAGTAACAGGATGACATTAATCCTAATTTCTTCTTCTGAAGAGTTCGTCTCATAGATTTCTAAGTTCTTGTCTTAAATTCATTTTTTTCATTTAATGTTTTTAAGATGTTAAAAAAATAAAGGATGCTAATGAACACTTATAGTCAAAATCCATTTTTAGAAAGTATATTTCTCGGGACCAGCAGGTGGCAAGGTGGTTAAGGTGCTGGACACTCCCACATGGTCAACCACGGTTCAAGTCCTGGGCCTGGTGGTTTGATTTCCCACTTTCCTTCTCTCTGTGTCTCTGTCTATGGTTAAATTTAAAAAATTAAAAATGAATGAATAAATAAAATTAAATAATTCTTTAAAAAGAAAAAAAAAGAAAGTATATTTCTCAAGTTCAATCATACAAGTACCAAAATGAAAAGGTAGCTTGGTCTCTCCTAACACCTTAATATTTAGTAAATACATAATTCAGTGTAAAGTTAAACATATCCCTGCTAAAATTCACCATGTGATTCACTGTATTATCTGACATTTAAATTTAAAAAGAGAGTGTAAAAATTAGTTTAATAGCAACATACGCTTTGGGTCAGCAACCTTTTATCTGTAAAAGCCTATACAGTAAAAATTTTCCCTTTGTAGTTCTATCTGATCTCCCTTGCAACTACTCAGTCTGGTCATTGTAGTAAAAGGCAGACAGAAGCAAGGAAGGGATATCACTGAGTTCCACATAAACTTCATTTATAAAAACTGATGGAGGCTGGGGACCAGCAGTTAGCGTAATGGCTATGTCACTGGACTCCCATGTAGTCAACTGCAGTTCGAGTCCCGGACCTCGTGGCTTAAACTCATGCCAGGTGGCTTAAACTCATGCTGGGCACGTGTGCATGCGTACCCAAGATCCTGAGAGGAGAAGGGAGAAGGGATTGCGGTGTGGCCATCCCACCAGGGAGTGATTTCTCATTTTCTGTCTCTGTCTCTCTTTGTCTTTCTAGTGAGCACACGTACCCTATAGCAAAAACCTCTCTAAAAAAAAAAAAAAAAAAAAAAAAAACTGATGGAGGCTGGATTTAGGATGAAGGCCATAGCCTGCTAATCTCTAGCCTTGGCAGAAAATTTTGAGGAAGGAGAAAAGAAAGACATAACAAAAATGTTGTTTTCTGAGAGAAACTAACAAAAATTCAGTTTGCAAGTAAAAAATATCAAGCTTGGGGCCAGCAGGTGGTATAGTGGCTAAGGTACTAGAGTCCCATGTGGCCAACTGTGATTCAAATCCTGGACCTAGTAGCTTGAGAAACATGCTGGGTGTACGTGCATGCCTAAAATACCAAGAGGAGTATGGAGGAGAAGGGACTGCAGATAGCCATCCCGTGGGGGGTGATTTCTCACTTTCCTTCTCACTGTTTCTCCAGAGAATTTGCTCTCCAGTGAGTACAAATGTCCTATGAGAAAAAAAAAAAAAAAAACATGAAAATAAAAAAAATAATAATAACAACAAGCTTATTACCCCAAGTTTCTATGTGGAAAAAATTTCAAAATGGATGTCTTGCTTCCATACTTTTTGTTTAAGAAATAAATGTTTAAATTTCTAAGGAAAGTTTCGTTGTCTTTTATTCACTGGTTTTAAAGACCATCAAGTGATGTTTATGATCTACTTTTCTTTCTTTTCACCCTTCCCTTACTTTTGGTAAATCTTGAAGCATTCCTGTAGAAATTTACTTTTCCAAGACAACGGAAAATTTCAACCTGCAAAGGACAAAGTCCCAAAATGAGAAAGTCAGTGGCAGAACCAAGGGCAGACATAAAGACATCAACCCCACTGTCTACCACTTTTTAATCAACACCCACTGACTTTTATTTAGGTTTGTGTGAAATGCTGTTTAAAAAAAAAAAACCTGAAATTTTAAGTTTTTTGCCATAAGGCATATGTGCAGCAGTTCCAGAAAGGTATGGAGAGAGACAGTGAGAGGGAAAGTGAGAAATCTCCCCCCCACCCCTCACCCCCCTGAGGGGATGGCCATACCACAATCCTTTCTGGGATTCTGGGCACACATGCACCCAGTGTGATTTTCAAGCCACCAGGTCCAGGACTTGAACTATATGGTTGACCATGTAGGAGTCCAGGGCCTAACCACTTTGCCATTTTCTGGCCCCTATAAATTCAGTTTTAAGACAAATCCCCTGGTTCCCTTCCATCACACACATTCTGCATTGATCCAGACTGCCACTTGCATTCTTTCACACAGAATTTCTGCTGATTCCAAAAAGGAGAAATAACAACTTTAAAACTTCAAGCAGATCAGGGGCCTTTTCTAGGCACAGGGAGAAAGAGAAGCCACTTCTGGATTGTAAAATTTGACTCTGGCTCAGAAAAACTAACAAGCAAACACACAGTAACTCACATGACAGAGCAAGGCTTAGAAGGCTGGGAATGATTCTCATGGGTTAGGTTAAAAAAAATCACATGTTCATTGAAATGCTTTATTACCTGTTAATGATAACATGTATAGCATTCTCAACTGGAGTGGTCTGAGAAGTAGTTCATGTTGGGTAAATTCTCTTTACAAGCCAACTGATGTACAGTGATCGAATGTTTAAAACAGGAAGAATAAGGAAAAAAAATAAAGAATCTGGAAAAAAATGAAAAGCTATTTGCTGCTGCTGATGTGTATAGTAATGCCTTTGTCTTGACTGATAGGCATGGTCATCGTGCTGGAAAAAGAAATGTTATACACTATAAAGATATATGTGATTAAATGGAATTTTAAAAAGAATTTAAAAAATAAGAGAAGATTTAAAAAATCATATGTTCTAACAGAGGATGAAGAAATGGACAAGACAAATGCAACTTGCATATACGAACATCAGCAAGGGTTTCAGAGATGAAGTAGTATATGGCAGAATATTTGTGAGCCCAGGACATAGTGAGCTCCCAAAGACAGTTCCAGAAAATAGTTAATGTCTAGAGTTAGACAGGTGGCTGGGTGAGGGTGGCACATTTTAGATTCCAAAGTTAGTCACACCAATATACATTCCATCCCACACACTGTTCTTAACAATGTGACATTGACACCCTTCCGTTCAGAGTTGGCACCTATGTTCTTTCTGCTTAAACCTGGGAGGGTCTTTGTGACTGCCCTGACTGACAAAACACAAAAGCAGCACCACATGACACAAGTCATAGAGGTATAACAGCTTCCACCTGGCTCTCTCTTGAGACATGCACACCAAGAGCCCTGAGCTCATGATGGAAGTCCAGATATCTGATGCTGCCATGCTTAAGAGATCACCTAGAGCTAGAAAGTGATGGCTGAGGACCTCCCATTGTTCTAGCCCTGAACTGTTTGAGTCTTCTCGGTCTGCGTCCCAGATATCATGAAGAAGAAATGCTGAACTCTGTTGGAATTCTTGACCCAGAGAATCCATGGCTGTTTTGCACCATGAAGATTTGGGGTAATTGGTTACACAGCTACAGTAACTAAGATGATTGGATATAGAAATTGCACTCTAGGCCACAGGTCAGCAAACTTTCAAGTGCCAGGTAGTAGGCTTTGCAGGCCATATGGTCTTGGGCACAAAAACTCAAATATGCTTTTGTACCTGGAAAGAAGCCATAGGTAATACGTAAATTATAGGTGTGACTATGTATCAATAAAACTCAAGCTTTATTGACACATACAGATGTTAGGGGAGGGAAGGCTTGGCCCCCAGGATGTAGTTTGCTGATCCCTATTCTAGGCAAAGAAACCTGATAGTATGCTCAGAAGCAGAAATGTGGCTTCTTATTCCAGGAACAGAGACCACTCCAGAGGCTAAATAAGGTATCCAGAGAGCAGTACAGTACTTATGCCTATAGCCTGCATATCCAGATTATTTGGGGGGCAAGTCAATTAAATTCTCTGTGCCTCAGTTTCCTCTTCAATCTTTTTTTTTTAAGAATTATTTTATTTTTAACTTTATTATTTTTAGTTATTTTAATTTGCCCAGAGAGGGACAGAGAGAGAGGGAAAGTGAGAAAGCAAGCCGCCAGGTCCAGGACTCGAACCATGGTTGGCCATGTGGGAGTCCAGCATCCTTCACCACCATGCCACCTGCCAGTGCTCCTCGTCTATCTTAATATGGAGGATAATAATATTATCTACCTCTTAGGTCACTGTCAGGATTAAATGACAGGTTCAGGGCTTAGAACTGTGCATGGCACATAGTCAGCACTATTTAAATACCTGATGCTATTTTTACTGTGGTTAAGTAAGAGAGAAAACCCAGAAAGAGAAAATTGATGGTAAGAAATGCAAAAGAAGGGACTTTGCAACAAGATGGGTAGAAGAGGCAAGAGGTGAAAGAGGAGGAGGCAGGGTGTGTTAGAGGAAAACACTAGTGCCTGGAGAGAGGCTTACTGCAGCCATCCGGGAGGGAAAGACAGTGGTATCCCAA